GGAAACGACAAACGTTCAAATATTGTTGCTGCAACAATGCCCCCCCCCCTGGCTACGGCCCTGATTATTAGGTACATCAAATACTTTTTGAAAAATAGAAAATGGGCTATGGCCTTTGGCTATATACCATCAGAAAAAAAAAACAAATAAAAATCGATTATGTATGGTTTAATTCTTCTGGTTTGAAAATGTTGCCGGATGAAACATTTATCAAAATAAAAGTGCCATCGATATTAACATACACTTTAAAGCTCTTCTTTTGTCTGATTTATGGTGTTGTAAAACACTTGACAATATATCACTTTTTTAATGTTATAATGTTGGATTTGTATTGTCTACATTTGTTCTGCAACAATACAATCTAGCTACACTGCAGCCACGAGTTGCGCGCGCATGTAATTTTTTATCACTTTCCAATTTGTATGTATTACAATTAAGCTCTCTGTTTCTATTTCTGCGAGACACGTCAAATTAACAAAATGAGCAAAAGTTGACAGATGTCACGTAATTTAACACGTGAAAAAAAATAAGTGGTCACGTGACATCCGTCAAAACTTGCTTTTTGCTCGCAGATGCAATAATCGAACCCAGCCAAACACAAACCATATGCTTTTTTTTTGGCGGGATTATCAAAACACGGGGCGAGTTCTCAAATCTGAAACTTTTCTGACATCGTTGACATGTAATAACCACTTAACAACCCGTATTCTAACCTCATACAAATTTCAAGATGCCGGCTGGTTGACAAAGTCACGTGGTTTAGATTCCCTAATTGTTTATTAACTAAATGTCAAAATGATAAAATGTCACTCCTATATTTCACTGCTAATAGATGGCGCCACGGCCCTGGTGTGCGGACACTGCGGAGCACTTCCTTTCTAAGGGCGAGTACCTGTTACAAAACTATTTTGACAGAATAATAACTAAAAGTTAACCTCTGGAATAACGTTACTTCTCATCAAGATTACTTCTCATACTAATTAGGAAATCCAACGACCTGTCCAAATGGCGCCTGGCTGGAAAATAATTTAAAAAAAACCTATGACTAAATTTTTGACTTGGGGAATTATCTTTTTCAAAAATACAGACTTTACACGGGACGAATTCTCAAATCCGACACTTTTTTGACATCGTCACAAGAAATCGTTGACATGCAACAACCCGTATTCTAACAAAGGAGGATACACACTACTAAGGATTGCTTATCAGCCTCGTTTCTGGTAATCGGCGCCATATTAACGTGTCACCATTTCCGACGTCAAACCTAAGTCGATGGAAAAGTGATCTATGTGGAATTTTGCTGAATTTCTGATATTGTGTATAGGGAGTCGTCCATAACAAAAGTGATCATTGCGCTAATGTTCAATACCCAACAGTTTTCAAGATATCAATTAAAAACTTTTTTAATTTGATACTTTTCAGTATGACGTCACCAGTATGCTCACAGCACCGAAAATTATAACTATCCTTTTCACTTTTGACTTTGACTACCTATACTTATACTCTTCTCCTTTTAACATTTAGGAAATAAAAAAAAAACAACAACAGGTACAAATGAAATCGCTATATGACAGACATCATGACATGAAGTTGACGATTGCGACAGGAGCTAGGTGTTGTTTACAATACCTACTTATTTGTCACTAATCGCTATCGCTATCTTTTTTTTTTCTTAATGTTAAAAGGAGAAGAGTAAAGTCAAAGTCAAAAGTGGAAAGGATAGTAATAATTTTCGTTGCTGTGAGTGACGTCATACTGAAGAGTATCATATTAAAAAAGTTTTTAATTGATATCTTGAAAACTGTTGGATATTGAACATTAGCGCAATGATCACTTTTGTTAAGGACGGCTCCCTATATACAATATCAAAAATTCAGCAAAATTCCACATAGATCACTTTTCCATAAGAAATGTGCGGGGTCCTTTATAAAGAAAAATATTATTTAATTTTGATCAACATAATGGGCAAAGAGGGAGATGGAAACGAGATCTAAGAAAGAATTGTTTTAGAATGGTAATTAATGTAGTAAACCAAGTATGCATAAAGCAAAACCCGCGAAATCATAACCAGTGGTGCAAACAGCTTACGTCAAGGCAAGAAAGGTCAGGCTTCCTACGTCACAATTGGTGATTTGGCATGGTGGGGGCTTTAGATTTGTTCCACACAGGCCTTATGATGATAATAGGCTATCCTGAAGTAGTAGTGTAAAATATATTATCCAATAACATATATATTATCCTTGTATTCTAACCTAATAAAAGAATCATAACCTGTGGTGCAAACAGCTAGCAGCCTACGTCCATCCGAGAAAAGATCGACATGCTGCCTACGTAACAATTGGTGATTTGGCGTTGGGAGGGGGGAGGTGTCATACAGGCGTTATGAGGATAGGCTATCCTTTAGTAGTAGTGTGTATTGAAAGTCAAGTGGTTTGGATTCCCTAAGGCTGAAGACACAATGACAAATACAAGGTACAAGTGACAGATACAAAATACCAAAAAATCGGGATTTTGTATTTTGACGTGGCAAGTAGGTAAATTGTATCCTGTATCCATTTATTCTGGGTTATAGCATTGATACACGTGCTCTTATATTTTTGTCTCTTCTCACTTGTCCTTGTATTTGTTATTGCGTCTTCGGTCAAATTGTTTATTCACTAAATGTCAAAATGATACAATGTCATTAATATAACTCACTGCTAATAGATGGCGCCACGATAATAGTATTCCAAAAATACGGGGAATTTGATTGGTCGATAGGCCGTATAGATTCCGGTTTGGAATCTACGGGGTGTGTAGAATTCGTATCATCGCGCGCTCGGAACGAGAAGATTCTGTTCGTTTAAGTTCTCAGAGTGTTCTCTTTTGCGTTGGGCTTATAACCGCGTATGACGTCACGATATCCATGCACATATCGACCATACCGTTCCGCTCCGTGGAGTGCAAAACCGAACTCAGCCAAAGAGTATTATTGTTCGAAGAGAAAATGTATACTTATGCCATTCGGCCCAGAAGGTGTGCTAAGCCCTGTGCTAAGGCGCCGGCCTTCAAACGTGCTATTGGCTCGACCTTATTGAGCTTCTTTGGGCAAAGAAAAACTGCAAAATCAGGAAGTTTATTCAATTTTATTATCGAGACAAGGAAAAATTTCAACCAATATCAACATTTCAAATCCTAGACAGCATAAGAGAAGATTATGACTATGAGACATGCTTTATAAATCCACACGAGGAGACAAAATTTTTATAACAAATTAAAGTGATGCAGAGGAATTTATCTAGGAACAGTTTCAACTAAATATTTGAGACATGTTTCATGTTTCTGAAATACCATGAGACATATGAAAATTTAGACAAGAGTGTAGACGTAGGAATAGGAAGAGCTCGTGACACCGTTGCCAAATTAATCAGTATCGTAATCAGTGCTAGTCTTTGTAGGTTGATATTTTAGACTAAAAGAGTTAATCCAAACTAGCCCAAACTAATCCGGGTCCATTTGGTACAAAAACCGAGCGTATTCCAACTGGACTTCCATCCCTCTGCAAGTAATCGTAGAAATCAAAGTAATGTGCGCAATACATTACCTATATCCAAACATTTGGCAACGGCGGATGCTCCTTGGGCTCTCCATACTCCGGCGACTAGACTCTTTAAAATTTACTTTCGTGAAACAATGTGCCGGTGAATGTTCAGTTTCCCAGTTCCCCACTGTATTAAAAATATACCTAGATATCAAAGAATTATAAAAGGGTTAAAAGGGAAAGAATAGACAGCTTTAGTACTACCTTACATAGGTACTAGTGTGTGGTTAAGTCGGAGTAGGTACTCTGATTCATGGATTACTCTGATAATGGATTTGAAGAAGAGAAAGTCTGAATATTATGGAAACATTAGAACAAAAAGAACCACACACGTGCGCTTAAACATGACTACAAAACTCGTGTGATTAGAACGACTCGGTCTACGACCTCGTCGTTCTAATCTTTCACACTCGTTATTGTAATCATGTTCATAAACGCACTTGTAATGTAAATAACTATTACATTACAAGTGCGTTTATGAACATTATTACAATAACGAGTGTGAAAGATTAGAATGACGAGGTCGTAGACCGAGTCGTTCTAATCACACGAGTTTTGTAGTCATGTTAAAACGCACGTGTGATCTACATAGTTTTATCTACAAAGCAAAAATAGGAAAATTTTTCTTTCAATTTTCGTTTATTAGTTCTCTACCTTCATTTTACCTTCACAGATTTAACTATTACATTTGTCAAATCACAAAAACTAGTTGTGGAAAGGCCGGGATAGATGCTCCGTCCTGTCCATCAACTTGTTTGCGCGACCTTAATTTGTATGAATTATCGCAGCGTTATAGATTCATAACCCAGTCCATAACACCACTAGTTGTGTTATGAGTCTCATGACATAACTGAAATACTAGAAAACATAGTTATAAAAAAACGTCATAACGCTTGTAGATAAAAATAATAATGGACTTAATAATAATATCAAGTTAACAACAGTTTCGATTTGAAGAAGGTAGAAACACGGAATGATGTTATCTGGTATCTAGTGGTAAAAATATTATACCGAATGAATTTGACTGAAATGTATTGAGACCAAAAACTAACATAGAATTTGGTAATGTACCTTTAAGAGATGACAGACAGCTTAACGAAGTAAGAACATTTTTCATCAATTTCAACGACGTAAATCCAAATAAAAAGCGTTGAACTTCAATCAAACTAAATTGAAAAATAAATAAAGTATGAATAGGTACAACTTGACGCAAAGAGAGAAATAGCAGCCATTGGAAGTTGCATTGCATGTAAAGCCCTTTGAAGGTTCTATTTCTGTTCTAATTAGTAAACTGTCTTCCAATACCCACTAAAGCAAAAAAAACTAGAAAATCGCTCACAAGCACTACAGGTTGTTGCGACTCCCATACAGAGTTTCCAGCGGCAGGATCGGCGCTTTCCAGTCACAGTCAGTCTGGATTCGCGTCCCAAACAAACCAGCAGACCCAAAGAAGAACCGACTTCTTTGATGGAAAAACGCGTTCGCGCGGGAACTTTTCTAAATTTGAATAATTATTAATTTAGCAGTGCGATAAAAGTGACAAAGATTTTTAAGTGATTTGAGTATTTGTATATGGAAATCGTTTATTGGTAGGTGTTAATCAATACTTATTTTTTATTTTTTTCAATGAATAGATATTTTATTTAATTTTTTCATGGATATAAATAGTTAGTCACTTTGTTACCTAAAATTGAGGATCAAAGGGCCAAAGTTTCCCCAAAGTTTATTTCACCCGTGTGCACACAGCACAGAAAGTCCATTTATCTTCAGACGTTTGGTTTGATGCTTCATGTGAGTGAGTTTCCATTTGCTGATTGAATCAATCCTAGAGGATTAGATATTTTGTCCAAACTTTGGACTTATTTTTTAAGTAAAATGGCATATTTCACTATCGACAGTATTTTACTGTGTGATTAACATTAATTAAGTTCAGGGTTATAGATTAATTTTGTCCATATTGAAAAGCAAACAAACATTTTACGATCGGAAAATCTCATGCGTGCACGGTTTTTATTGGAAACCTGCACGCTAGCTAGAGCCACTAAAAAAAGCCAGTGAAAGCTCGGATAAAGGAAAAATTAATGGCTTATTAGATTCGATAGGAAGGTAACGTGTATAAACTTCATTAACAACCCTATAGTTGATGAATTTTATCGGACAAAGGTACAGCTAAGGGTGCGTGAGTTACATTTCCTGCTTGATTTACTATAGTTTCAAGATAAAATACAAAAAGAAGTTTTTAAACAGAGCATGTATGCAAGGAACCTTTATGATCTGATCAAGTTCTAAAAGAATTTCAATAATATCTAAATCCTTCGATAAACATTTTTTTTAAAAATATTTCTATTATATTATTGATAAGTACTGGTTGAGCTTCAGTTATTTTTCTGTTTTTTTTTTCTATAGATGTTTTTATTAATTTTTGACTTTGCTACTTATCAGTCTAACAAAAAGAATTAAGTAGCGAGTTGATAATGTGACAAAATTGAGATGTTATGCATGTATGTATGTATTATATTTATTATCATTGAGTAATCTTTATCTATCTTAACCTACCTATATCTTAATTAAAAATAAGCATTCGACTATCTTACAGTTAACATTTCACCCAAGTAGTAACCACTTGATAATCATATTGTTATACAATTTGTTATTGTATCTTTAAAATCCAGCTCATGTAATTATTGCTTCGCTACACACACACATGCTTCCCATATACATAATTCCTTCCAGCGGTATCAGTTACCTGACATCTGGGTTCGTCATAAAACGTGGGTACTCAGAATATTATCCTTGACTTTGAATAATCCACATGGGATTTGGTTAAGTCGATAGATTGGTTTAAAGTTTAGCGTTTGTCCAGGAAAACATAAATATTGCCTATATATTTGTCAATTTTCGGTTACAACAATAATAATTTTGAAGCTATAAAATTTGATAGGTAGTACACATAAGCAAATATAAATTAAAATCTAAAGTTTTGACACAATGTTTAATCGACAATAAGGAACAATTTAAAAGATCACACTCCCTATAATTCCTGTTGTAATTGCAAATCATCATCATCACAAAAGCTGTGAATCCATAATTTGTCCTGTGCGGGTGCTCATAAAAAATTTGATGTCTGGTTCGTCTAATGGGGACCAAAAATAATATTGATTCCAATAGTGTGCTGCAATTATTCAGGATTTTCTAAAGAATAATGAGTAGGGCGTGTTTCCGTCTCTGCTCAAGGCTCATCATCCCACACAGCAACAGTCTGGTTTCATAAAGTATTTCAGATGAAGGAAAACGGTGTTTATTTAGAAGGTATTTTATAAACTTGTTTTGGACGTTATTAAGTCTATTAAGATTGATGTTATAATGTGGTGACCAGATGATGGAGCAGTATTCAAGAGTGCTGCGTACAAGGGCGTTGTAAAGACATGCAAGTGCCTTGGTGTTGTTGATGTGTTTGATATTTCGCTTAATGAAGCCAAGCAATCTGCAGTTTTTGACAATAATCTTATCGATGTGCATTTTAAATATCAGTTTTTGATCGAACGTTACTTCAAGGTCGTTGATGAATTCCACATTATCAATTTGTTGATCATCAATCTTATATGTTGACATATGAGGAGATGTAGGTACGCTTGTGGAATGTTATTGATTTTCATTTGGATATGTTGATTTTCAGTAGGTTTGAAGAACACCAAGAGGCAAATCTGTCGAGATCTGATTGCAGTGGGTTGGAAACTCCATTCCTAACATTATAAAATTTCAGGTCATCAGCATACAGGAGAAAGTGCGAAAAATGGAAGCAGGAGGAAACATCGTTGATAAATAACAGGAAAAGAACAGGTCCCATGTGTGATCCTTGGGGAACGCCCGAAGTGACCTTGATGTTTTTTGAGGAGTAACTACATACTTCAACCCTCTGGGTTCGATCTCCAAAATATGATTTGATGCATGCTAAATAGTTTCCAGAAATACCAATTTTTGATAGTTTTTTTCATAAGAAGGAGGTGGCACACGCTATGGAAACATCAGACGGATTTACAGCTAAAGCAAATTCTGTAAAAAGTTTGGAATACCAAAATCAACCCAGTTTTAACTGAGCTGGATTACAAAGACTTTTGTTTTGCTGATGATTTTCATAAAAGTTGAAATAAGTTTCATAATGAAACATCTTGGGGAGATCAAATAACGTTTGGTAATGAGATATTTAAAAGAAATAGTAACAAGTAACTAATCTGGATCAAGAGCGATATAATTTTTCTTTCTTCCTCAGCACTTTCCGGCAGAGAGAAAATTTCCTATTTAGGATAAATTACAGGAGAAAATCCAATCAGCATAAATGACGCAAGAAAGCTGACGTTGAAAATAACATGAGTAAAAGTTTCAAAGTTTCTCACCATATTATTTCTAAGATCGGTTAATACAAAGGGCTTCTTTCTTTGAAAAACTCTCTTAGGTAAGGCATTGGGATAAGAAAATTTAAATTTCGAACAGATTTATTTATTCACTAGGTAATCCTAATGTAAAAATTGTCGTTCAATTCGACGCAAATATATCGCCCCATTATCGCACGAATAAAAAGAATCCTCCCGAAATATATGGCAAGCTTCATTGAATAATCAATTTCGCGATTTCTTTTTTTTCTTCGTGCGTAAATAAGCCGCAATTTCGAAGAAGAATTTGCATTTTTCTTTATTCAGAGATTCCATTCTGGCGGAGTGGTTTCGGTAAATTAAAGGAACCGAAACGCATCTGGATTACGAAACATTTTTCGAGGACAAAGAAAATTTGAATGACGTAAGCAGATTTTTTTTTTCTGAGGGCCAATTATAATAAAATGGATTATTGGAGCGTGGAAGAAATGTTTTATTTCTCTACACCGGTATCCCAACAATATCTCAATAATTACCAACTCAATTCTTTAAATCACCCCTATCAATAAGTTTGCTTGCCAAAGTTGACTCAACACACAGCGATAATCACATTTAGAGTGATTGATTCTCATAAGAATGCAGAATAATTTATAATTTAAAATCTAGTCCATAACATATCCTACTGCTCCACCACTTAATGCTCCTAAGGCACCAAAACCAGCAAAAATTGGGATAAGTGGTAGAAGACCACCTGGGCTGCGTTCACATTGAAAGGTCCGACAAGGTAACTTACCCGATAAACGACGTCATGGACAAATTGTCGGGTGATGGTTAAACTGAGCGCACTGGACGCTTGTTGCTTGTTTGTTGACGTTGACATAACCCCACTATTATACCTACTGACCACGGAAAATGAAAAAATTGAAAAGTGCAAAAAGTACTCGTAATTTGGGCATATTTACGTAATATTTAGGTCAAATTATTGGGAAGTATACAGTGTGTCCCACTTTTCATGAATACACCCCGATATCTCAGTTATTAACAATGCGTTTTTATTCAAATGTTGGTGGAGATTTTTTGTTAGAAAAATGAACTATTTGACATAGTAAAAATTTTTATTTACCATTGGCGTGCGGTGTTGGGGAGTAAAAAGGGGTTGTATTTTTGGGAAAAAGATATTAGGGCTTATTTTAGATATTTTTTTGTATCAGATTGAAATTCAGCATCCGCAAAAACCCCGTAATTCATATTTTCAAAATGTCAAAGGTGATTTTGCCAAAAAAAAAATAAATAAATATTTTAATTCATTTTTTCTAATAAGCTGTTTATTTCTAATTGTGATAATCGAATTACTAATGACATTATTTTAGAATATTGTATTTTCAATGTAACAACCTCCTAATCAGAAAGAAACAGCCTTTTAGAAAAAGTAAAGTAAAATAAATTAATTTTTTTTGCTCTTGAGAAATACGAATAAAGCCCGGGACACATTTATCATGCATTCTTCCGATCCGAATCCGATCATACAATCAGGGTCCTTATTCTTGGAATAGGGAGCAGCGTTCCCAGGAGAACGAGTGTTCCGCTGCTTCCCTGTTCCAAGAATAGGGACCTTGATTGTATGATCGGAGTCGGATCGGAAGAATGCATGATAGATGTGTCCCGGCCTTTAAGGGGTTTTTGGGGATGCTGATTTTTAATCTGATACAAAAAATTATCTAAAATAAGCCCTAATATCTTTTTCTCAAAAAAACAATACCTTTTTACCCCCTAACACCGCACGCCAATGGTAAATAAAAATGTTTACTATGTCAAATAATTCATTTTTTGAATAAAATCCCATTATTATTAACTAAGATATCAAGGTGTATTCATGAAAAGTGGGACACACTGTATACATTCGGAATAATTTTTCCTTTTTCTTTTATGAATGTTAATCAGCTGACTGCCAACATTCCCAATGCGCAAGTCCATGTGTTCGAGTGGACGTAATGGCAACTCGCCCGACGTTATCTTTTATCAAACTGAACGCTGACAAATTTCACTCGACGTTGAAAGTGAACGATATTCAGCGCGTCCGACGTTCAAAGTGAGCGCGCCCCTGTTTTCGGTATATGTAAGATACGAGGGGTCTTGATTTTTCTCCAACCTCTTGACTGTGATTGATTCTAATAAAAATGCAGAATAATTTATAATTCAAAATCTAGTCTAAAACATAT